CATTGCTGAAAGAGATTGATGGTCTAACATCCTCCTCCTTTCAGGGTGGAGCCTGCAGGAGAACGATGGTTGACACCAGGTCTGAGGAAGTGTAAGTTCGTTTTTCATTGATTCCTGACAGCAAAGCAGCTCACATCCAACCATCTTTAATATGTCCATCAATCATTCAGGAGTCCTTATCAAAGTGTGATTGTGTTTGTTCTCTCCATCAGATTCCTGTCAGATCATCGACCCAAACACAGTGAACAGAAACCTGAAACTATCTGAAGGCAACAGGAAGGTGACCTATGTGGAGGAGCTTCAGTCCTATCCTGATCATCCAGACAGATTTGATAAGCGGCCTCAGCTGCTGTGTAGAACTGGTCTGACTGGCCGCTGTTACTGGGAGGTTGAGTGGAAAGGAGGAGTTGATATATCAGTGAGTTATGGAAGAATCAGGAGGAAAGAAGAAAGTAGAGACTGTTGGTTTGGATGGAATGATCATTCATGGAGTCTGAGCTGCTCTGATGCTGGTTATCATGTCTGGCACAATAACAGTTCCATACATTTCACCTCCTCCTCTGCCTCTAACAGAGTGGCAGTCTATGTAGACCATCCTGCTGGTTTTCTGACCTTCTACAGTCTCCTCTGACTCTCTGATCCACCTCCACACCTTCAACACCACATTCACTGAACCTCTGCATCCTGGGTTTGGGGTCTGGTGGTCCAGTTCTGGTTCCTCTGTGTTTTTGGGCTGAGTTAATACTTCAGTCTTGTACAAACATGTAATCCATTAGTTTTTAAAACTGTTAAATAATACCATGGGGACTTCTTTCTCTTCCAGTCCTTTAAAGATTGAAACTAAAAATAATTTAAGATCCACGCCATTTTTCTACCCATTCTCAGTGTTATAAGTCACATTTTTGCCTTTTGTTGTCCTTTTAGCTGAGAATGTGGCTGTGAAAAAGCTAAATGTCTTCCTGTTTTATCAAGATATGGCTTAATGGTTTGAGAACTCTTGTCTTTGATCACTCACTCACCCCCAGAAGGTTTGGCTGCTTTAGGCTGGTTTAAATCTACTGCAACACTTAGTGAAAGTTAAACGCAGTAAACTCAGATTCTATTGTTAATGGATGTTATTGGGCTCATTTCAGTGTTTTATCTATTATTGAGGTTAATGGTTAAGAATATTGTGAAGCTGTAAATGCAGTAAGTTGATTTGACTTTATTGTCTAACTGGTGCAGAGGGGAGTATATTTGGCAATTAATAAAACTCTAACTTTGCTTCAATGTTTCTGTTAAGGAAATTACCTCATAAAGACAAACAGCTATTACATATATGTTACACTAACCTTTGTACTCCGTATTAATTTACATTAATCAATGTCATTTATCTGGCTGTATATAGCAACAGGTTTATTTGGTGAAGGGTTTGGTTTCAATTTATGTTCAGGTTTTTTTTAATTGGTGTTGGGTTTGGTTTGATGTTGAATTGTTTCTCTATTGTGTGTATTTTGTTGATTCATTTATTGCTGTTTGTCAAATTGTCTGATAAATTCCCATTCGTTCGTTCATAAATTCAGTTTAAAATTCGGGTCCCACTCTCATCCTATCGGCTCTTGGATTTCTGGTCATTATCATTTTAAGAATCCATTTCAGCACCTTTGGATGATGTTTAAATTATGGCTATAGGTAACCATTAAAAGCTGATTTTCTATAGATGATGTGTGTCAATTGGCGCTATAAAAATAAACTGAATTGAATTGAAAAGACCTATTTTATTCTGTAGAACCAGCACACACACATGTATATATAATTATTGTAGAAGCCAATATGTACAAACTCTATAAAAGAAGGGAAATGATGTGTGCATGGGCGTGTGTTTCAGCGGAAAACACAAATCGGTTTCGACCGCTTGGCGGAGAAAACGCTGTCAACCCACAGCTGGCTGTTTGTATAATTTTTTGTTTTTGTAAGCAAGCAACACTGGGAATAAATCAGCTTTTAAACTGCATTTGGTACTGCCATTGGTAGGATTTCCTGATAAGCGCCACTAATGTTCCGGTTGTACCTCCCATGTAGGGGCTTAACCTCCCATGACGGGGTCTCTAGCACCTCACCTTCTGTGCCCCATTGTCTGAGACATTCACTGAGCATGTTGTCTATTGGAGTCTTGTGCTTGATGTACAAATGGAACCTGGATGTTTCATCCTGGATAGTGTCTCTCACGCTCATTAGTCCTCAGCCTCCTTCTTTTTGGCTGGCGTACAGTCTTTTTTTTTTTTTTTTTTTTACAGTCTCAGGGTGCTGGATTTGGGGTGGTACCCTCCGTGCATGGTTAGGAGCTTTCTTAACTTCTGTGGCCTGTATCTCATCTTTTGGCCAGCTAATTATTCCTGCAGGGTATCGAATTACTGATAGAGCATAGCTGTTTATTGCCCATACTTATTCTTGCCATTGAGCTAGCTCCTTAGGACCTGCGGCACAACGATGGGCCTAAGGATCTTTTCAATGTATCTCTGTGCATTCAAAATTCCATCAATAAAATAATCTGTAGCCTTGAGATGATGTGTTGTAAATTTGAGCATGGACTAAAAGTTAGCTAACTGAAACTGTCCCACAGCACTATAAGGTTTGATGTCCCTTATTTAAATCTGGTTTGATTTAAAGGAAAAGTCCAGTCAGCAGGAATAATCAATGGATCATTATTTATACCTAAAACTAATACATTTGTGGTGATTTAATTAATTTAGCTTTAATCAGTAAAAAAATTAAAACAATTTTCGTCCTCAACACTGAGTCTGGGAGCGGCCATTTTAGCCCAAATATAGTAGCCCCTCCCTCCTGCCATCTTCCAGCAGTGACGTCACGGTGCGGTAAGCCTAGCGCCATTCTCCCCGCTTTCCAAGCTAAATCAATGGGAACTACTAGACACATCTGCAATCAACAACAATTATTGAAGATTTCCAGAGGACTTCACCATTGAAATTCACCAGAGCTATAGTGAAACTGACAATGCCCACGTGCATGGCAGCTGGATGCTGGAATACATCGGGTAAAAGTGAAAAAAAGAGTTATTCCACCTTTCTGATTCCTGATCCTCCACGGACGGGTTGGTCGTTGGATCGCCAACTTGAAGAGGGAGGATTTGCCATCGAACTTCTGACCAGAGAAAAAACCCGTAATATGTAGCCAACATTTGGAAGAAGAATGTTTTCAAGATGACTTGGATAATAGCGCGTTGTGACAAACACCAGATACAGCACTGGGACTTGATCAACAGCCGATACCGCACCGTGACGTCACTAACCAGTAGATGGCAGTAGTGTTCTTTGACAAACATGGATGCCTCCAGTAAAGCACATTCACATGAAAATTACTCTGAATTAAAAACTCTGATCATTTATTGAACAGGATGGAATCATTTCAGATTTAAAGAACTTTCAGAAGTTTGAATTTTGAATATGAGCGGATTTTTCCCTTAAAGCTACAGTGTGTAATAATTACAGGGATATACATTCAGAAATTTAATATATTATACATAACTATGTTATTTACAGAGATGGGAAGTAACGAAGTAAAAATACTTCGTTACTGTACTCAAGTAGATTTTTCTGATATTTTTACTTTACTACTTATTTTTATGGCGACTTTTTACTTCTACTCCTTACATTTTTACACAAATATCTGTACTTTCTACTCCTTACATTTTTAAAAATTGTCTCGTTACTTTAGTTTTGAATCATTTCAATGGAGTTACCGTTATTATTTTTCACGTCATCGATACCAAATTCAATCTAATCGGATGGGAATCTACGTTGCATTTGACGCACCACTACAAGATGAATCGACAGATTCGGCGGTATTCATTGGCGGCAAATCATTGCAGCTTGGTGGCGGTGGCGTTAGCATAGTAGCATGGACGACGAGATGATTGAAAATGAACACAACGGAGATCTAGTCCTATTGGCAGACATCCATTTAAAATGTAGGCAACGGCATGAAAAAAGTGGTTTCTACTTTTACTTTTATACTTTAAGTAAATTTACAAGCCTGTACTTTGTTACTTTTACTTGAAAAAAAGAAGTTTAATCAGTACTTCAACTTTTACCAGAGTATTTTTTAACACAAGTATCTGTACTTTTACTCAAGTACGGAAAGTGAGTACTTTTGCCATCTCTGGTTATTTATCATCATCTACGAGCTCAGCCTCTTAACCTTAATATTTGCGTTGCCTTAGAATTCGTTATTTATAATTACATAGGAGCGGGTCTCGCAGCCATGGAGGCAGACATCTTTGCGCTACGGCAGCGCAGAGCCAACAAACTAGCGATTGCGAGATCGCCAAAACGTCACAGCGATGTAGAAAAAATAACGGGTATATTTATTATCTTAAGTCTACATGAAATCTATACCCTACACAGACTAATGAAATACTATCTGTAAAATTATCTATGTAAACAAACCTCATCACTTGAGAAAGTAGGTGATGCGGACGTCGTGGAAGACATTTTGTCCCGTAACGCTCGCCGTACTGTTGGGGGGGAGAAGCGGTGGGGGGAGGTGTTCATGTTGCTGCAGTCTGACCGCTAGATGTCGCTAAAAGTTACACACTGTAGCTTTAAATAAATATGCTCCTAATTAGAAATAACTCCTCTGTTCAATTTAAAAGGATAACAGTTAAATCTTATACGCTGCTATAAAATATGTACCTTTTTAATTTTTTTTGTATTTGTTAAAACATGACCTGACTGTGAAGTTATTTTGCACATCAGACCAGATTTTATAATTAGTTTTGTGTTCAGAGAAAGAGGCACTTCTTATGAGCTTCTTCTTCGTTTTCACTCCTATAAACGACATAAATGAAGTGATTCATGAAACAATGTTAAAAATGTTAAATTAAATGACTAAAATAAAAAGAAAATTAAATCAGAAGCAAAAACAAATCAGAGAAGTAATATTCCTGCTTCTTTGTTCCTTTAAAAACCCGCTGATGATGAAAGAAGAGGCGACGCTGAGAGTTTGACTAAAAGAAGCTCCTTTACTTCCAAACTGCTACTTGGACAGAATGAACAGTTTTTATTTTCTTTTTAAACTTTAAACCAGAAGCCGTCCAACATGAGAACGACATGAACGCTTCCACATCAGAACTTCTTCCTCTTCTGGCCTTTTATTTGGACACAGGAAACGTGAGCGCAGAGCCGCGGCGTGCGCGGCGTCCCGTTTAAAGGAACAGTCTCACCTTTTCAGCTTCAGGGAGCTGTTAGCTTAGCTTAGCACAAAGACTGGAAGTGGAGGGAAACCGTTAGCCGAGCTGCAGCAGATCAGAACCGCTTCAGTTTGTTTTCTGATCAGAGCATCAAGCTGAAACCTTCTGGAGTGTTTTGATTTTCTCGGTCAAACATGGCGTCGCCGTTCTGAACCAGGATGAAGGATCCAACATTCCTGACGTCTTCATCAGAACTCCAGGTTCTGCTGCGGATTCAGTCCATCACACGTTGTGATGCTAACCTGCAGGATTCTTTGCTCTAATTGTTCTTAAACTCATGTCACTTCCTGCTTTCAGCAGAAAACGGGTGGAGCCTCACGTATAGCCCTGCCCCCTTAAAATACCACCGGATCTGACTGAGACAGACGGACAGGAAGTAGACGGACAGGAAGAGGACGGCAGGCGTCTCCTGGACTCCACTGAGCTCCAGGTGAAGCTCTCAGTTCTCAGATGACCAGAGGAGCTTCTGTAGTTCAGGGAGAAGCTTCTGGAAGACGTGGAGGAAGAGCTCCGTCCTGGAGAGGAGAAGAAGAAGAAGAAAGAAACTGGCCTGCTTCTCTCCGTTCAGCGGCTAGTTTGGCTTTCACAGAAAGCGTCGAGCTCCGCCGCCTCTGGATGAAGAACCAGGAGGAGGAAGAGGAGGAGGAGGAGGACAGTTCTGCTGTGAGGAAGATCCTCCCAGTTTCTCCTCCTCTTCCTCCTCCCTGTGCAGCAGGCAGCCTGGGAGAAGCGGTTCAGTCCGGTCTGATCCGGTCCAGGTGGAGTGAGTCGGGTGAATCCGGAGGGAGGAAGAGGAGGAGGAGGATCTTCTTCAGATCTTCATGTCCTGGGACTCCACCATCTTGGCGAGCGTCTTCTTCACTCTGAGGATGGTGAGGCGGGAGGCGGGGTTCTGGGCCCAGCACTCTGACATCAGCTTCAGCATGGCTCGAAGGCACTGAGGAAACAATAAGACGGTTTCAGGTTCGAGTCCGATCCAACCAATCAGAACCTCCGGTGTTCTGTCAGCTCAGCATAGCCTCAGTGAAACGCATTTCCTGTCTCCGCTCTCCTTCCAGACAATCACGCCGTTTTACTTCCTGATTTAGTCGAATTTTTGTCATATTTTTGTGCATAAAAGAACAAAAAAATCTGGGTCCACGTCAAACATTAGCTTTAAATAAAATGTCATGTCTGTTTAACGAGGATCTTATTAAAGAATGATCGGCTTTAATTCACAGAAAATTAAATATTTATAGGGAGACGATTCTACAACTCAGTATGATTGAGTATTCAGTTTTAGACTGAAGTCATCAAACAACAACCAGTTTCAGAAAGAAAGCTTGTAGCTCCGCCCACCAGATGACGGCCGACCAGCTCCACCAATCAGCAACCACTTTGACATCCTGCCCAGTTTGATGCTGCTGCTAAAAGATTTCCGAATTCGTCAAACCGATGCTAAAGTAGAACTTCACATGATGCTCCACATTCCTCATTTTAGGGAAGAAAGGGATTCTTGGAAGAGATGTTATAAAATACAATTTTATTCTCGCAGTCTTACGACTTTATTCTCACGACTTTATTCTCGCAGTCTTACGACTTTATTCTCGCAGTCTTACGACTTTATTCTCGCGACTTTACTCTCGCAGTCTCACGACTTTACTCTCGCAGTCTCACGACTTTACTCTCGCAGTCTCACACCTTTATTCTAACGACTTTATTCTTACGACTTTATTCTTACGACTTTATTCTTACGACTTTACTCTCGCAGTCTCACGACTTTACTCTCGCAGTCTCACGACTTTACTCTCGCAGTCTCACGACTTTATTCTTACGACTTTACTCTCGCAGTCTTACGACTTTACTCTCGCAGTCTTACGACTTTACTCTCGCAGTCTCACGACTTTACTCTCGCAGTCTTACGACTTTACTCTCGCAGTCTCACGACTTTACTCTCGCAGTCTCACGACTTTACTCTCGCAGTCTCACGACTTTACTCTCGCAGTCTCACGACTTTATTCTTACGACTTTACTCTCGCAGTCTTACGAGTTTACTCTCGCAGTCTTACGACTTTACTCTCGCAGTCTTACGACTTTACTCTCGCAGTCTCACGACTTTACTCTCGCAGTCTCACGACTTTATTCTTACGACTTTATTCTTACGACTTTACTCTCGCAGTCTCACGACTTTATTCTTACGACTTTATTCTTACGACTTTACTCTCGCAGTCTCACGACTTTACTCTCGCAGTCTCACGACTTTACTCTCGCAGTCTCACGACTTTATTCTTACGACTTTACTCTCGCAGTCTTACGACTTTACTCTCGCAGTCTTACGACTTTACTCTCGCAGTCTCACGACTTTACTCTCGCAGTCTCACGACTTTACTCTCGCAGTCTCACGACTTTACTCTCGCAGTCTCACGACTTTATTCTTACGACTTTATTCTTACGACTTTACTCTCGCAGTCTTACGACTTTACTCTCGCAGTCTTACGACTTTACTCTCGCAGTCTTACGACTTTACTCTCGCAGTCTTACGACTTTACTCTCGCAGTCTCACGACTTTACTCTCGCAGTCTCACGACTTTACTCTCGCAGTCTCACGACTTTATTCTTACGACTTTACTCTCGCAGTCTTACAACTTTACTCTCGCAGTCTTACGACTTTACTCTCGCAGTCTCACGACTTTATTCTTACGACTTTATTCTTACGACTTTACTCTCGCAGTCTTACGACTTTACTCTCGCAGTCTTACGACTTTACTCTCGCAGTCTTACGACTTTACTCTCGCAGTCTTACGACTTTACTCTCGCAGTCTTACGACTTTATCCTCAAAATAGAAGAAAAAAATCTCTAGCCTGTCACTAATACTTCATCATAACTCAGTAACAGGATATGAGATTTACTTGTTTTTATTTTATTTAAAATGAGCGAGATGCGGATCATCTTATTATTATTTAGTTATATTTACAGCACATGAAAAACTATAGAAATTATATTCAGATTACACATAAATAGATTATTTAATTCCACGAAGGAAAAGGAAGTACTTTAGGATCCACTGTCGCTACAAGCATGCTTAGTGTGAGGGATTGCTGAAGAGTCAATGAGTCGATGCAATCAGCTGGTTTTCCTTAGATAGAAAACTTTGAATCAATCTGACTGGATGATCTGGTTGAACTGGATCTATAAAGTGACCTGAGATGACATGATGTGAATTGGAGCTATAGAAATAAACTGAATAGAATAGATAACAGCTGAAGCCATTCTATGGGAGTGATGCGTATTTTAAGGGTTTGCTGAGCTGACAGAACACCGTTTCCAACCAATCAGAACCTTCTGCGTCTGCAGACTCACCTCGTCGCTGTTCCAGCGGTTGGACACCGTGGGCCGCAGTCCTTTAACACACACCACCTCCAGCATGTCCTCATAGGAGGGTTCAGAGGTCACCATGTTAAAGTACGGCAGCTGGTAGTCCTCCACTATGCCTGGAAACAGAGAGCAGCGTCACTCAGAGGAACCGTCTGTTCTCATTCTGCTCCTCAGAAACCAGAACATTCAGAGACGACAACGCTAAGGTCAGGATTAAATAACCACCGATGATCAGAAGGATAGCAGCCTGACGGGGGTTAAAGGTCATCGGGACACCTCAACAGGTAAAAATCAGAGAGAATATTCCTGTGATTTAGAAAAACTACAGTAGAAATAATAGATCTAGAAATAAGTCAAACTTTCTTAAATAAGGGTATTTGCCTTTAATTTGAGCAGGAAAATCAGATGATTTGCCAAGAATGAATATTTTAATCTTAAAATTAGATAATATGCACTTAAAATAAGACAACTTAATAGTTTTTTTTTATTTTAAATATAAATTGTCTTCTTCCATTGGAAAAATGTCTAATTTTCCTCCTAATTCAATAAAAAATGACTGATCTAGACTGATTTTTTCCAGCGTAAACCCGGATCAGTGTGACTGATAGGTCTGACCCGGCCGCTCCGCCGCGGTGCCGTACCTCCGGTGACGCAGCGTCTGGTCATCTCCCAGACCACCAGGCCGTAGCTGTACATGTCGGCCATGATGTACGCCTGGAAGTGGTTCTTGTTGATGCTCTCGTCCAGAACCTCTGGAGCCATGTAGCGCCTGGTCCCCACCCGGCTGCTCAGAGGGATATCCATCTCACTGGTGTCGCTACGGCAACACAGACACAGTTCAACTACGTGCTACGTCAGAACGAGCCGTGAATAGTCTGAGCGGGTTACCATGACGACAGAAAGCCCACCTGTTGAACTTGACGGCGAGGCCCAGGTCGGCGATGCAGCAGGTGCCGTTCTTCTTCACCAGGATGTTCTTGCTCTTCAGGTCTCGGTGGGCGATGGCGGGCTTGCCCTGCGTGCCGTAGATCTCCGTGTGCAGGTGGCAGAGGCCGCAGGCGGCGGAGTAGGCCAGGCGCAGCAGCGCCGCGGCGTCCAGCGTGTTCACCTTCAGGAAGTCGTACAGAGAGCCGTTCTCGTGGTAGTCGGTGATGAGGAAGAGCTGCGTGAAGGAACCAGAACCTTTGATGTCTGCAGCGATGAAGCCTGCAGGATGGAGGGAGACATTCACACGTCAAGCTGCGGCCATCTTGGACAGGGCAACAGGCAAAGCTGATAAATAAGAGTTTAAGACCTCTGTGATGTAAAATAAAATGCTGTTGAGATGACAGCTGGATTCATTAGCAGAGAAAAAAGTATGCTGCTAGCTAAACTGTTAGCTAAGCTGTTAGCTAAGCTGTTAGAAGCTGTTAGCTAAACTGTAAACTAAGCTGTTAGCTAAGCTGTTAGAAGCTGTTAGCTAAATTGTAAGCTAAGCTGTTAGAAGCTGTTAGCTAAACTGTAAGTTAAGCTGTTAGCCAAAATGATAGCTAAGCTCTAAGCTAAGCTGTTAGCTAAACTGTAAGCTAAGCTGTTAGCTAAGCTGTAAGCTAAGCTGTTAGCTAAACTGTAAGCTAAGCTGTTAGCTAAGCTATAAGCTAAGCTGTTAACTAAACTGTAAGCTAAGCTGTTAGAAGCTTTTAGCTAAACTGTAAGCTAAGCTGTTAGCTAAGCTGTTAGCTAAACTGTAAGCTAAGCTGCAAGCTAATTGAAAAATGGAGAAATAAGATGATTCTACAGAAATATTCTGTGCTTTTCTCCTCTTCACGGATCTCCTCCCACTCACGGTTCTCCTGAACATCTGGATCTAATATAGAAACTAGAGAACTAGAGAAGTAACCTGAAGCTTTCTAAATATTTGGACCAAGTTTTGATCAAAGGTTAGAAAAAGCATCAGAAATGTTGGTGATAGGCATTTGCTAATCCCAGTGGAAATGAACCAGCTCTCAGTCATGGCGAGAGTTTGGATGGACGCGTTTGATCCGTTTCTTTATTACAGCAAAACCAAAGACACATTTTACTGGAGGGGAAGCTGAGTGTTGGAGGCAATGAGGAAACCAGGAGGCCATATCTTTTGCGAATGCTCAGCGGTTAAACCCTTTTGGGCTTCATCAAGTATTAAGCGGTTGGTTTAACACTAATCTAATCCTCTGCAGTTTTCAACATTATTTTCAGGAAATTTGGATTAACAGGTCAGAAAAGATTATTATTTATTTGATATTCTGTTAACCGCTGGTAAAAAAGCACATAGGACTATCTTTCCCACTTTGTTCAAAGTGTTTAGATGTAATTTATTTAACTTTGTATATTAGCTCTATAATTTTATACAAACTAAACATAATTGGTAGTGGCGGTTGTAACATTGTATGTTAACTGATGGTAACTATCACTAAATGTTCTCACAAAATGAAAAATCAAAAATGTCAACAGAAATGTGGGTAGTTGCTAAATCTGATGTTGACCACCAGATGGCGCCAAATCTCCAAGAATCCAGTAAACTAGAGCTCATCTGTGTCTCTTGGACTAAAAGTTTGCCAGAGAAGTATGCGATATTGAGATATTTTCCATCAATTATAAACAGTTATTTTCTTTCTTTTGGGATAATAAAAGCCACGTGTGTCTAGCTGAGGGTCACTTGACGGACCGACTGATCTAATGGACTCAGGAACCCACCGAGGATGTTCTCGTGCCTCATCAGGACCGTCTGGTAGATCTCCGTCTCTCTGAACCAGCTGGCCTCCTCGCGGGTGAAGAACACCTTGACGGCCACCTTCTCTCCCCTCCAGCGGCCGAGCCACACCTCGCCGTAGCGGCCTTTCCCGATCTGACGCACCATCTGGATCTGCTTGGCGATGGTCCGCTGGACCTGAGGGATGAGAGCATAATCTCAGCAGAATCTAAAGTCGAGTTTAAATTTAAAATCTACAAACTGCGACATATTAAAACCTAAATCAGGTGTCTAACTTAGTTCAGGTTTGAAGGTAAAAATTATTTCATAATATCAGTAGGAGGAAGACTGCCCAGCCGGGACGCGAAAGATCACATGTTGTTCAGCTTCCTACCAGCAGGGGGAGCCCTGAGCCGCTGCCGGAGCTCTGTGATTGGTGGATGAGGTCTTTGAGGGACTCTCCTCCGCGGATGAAGACTTCCTGCTCCAGGTCTTTGGGGTAGCGATCCCGCTCCGTCTGCCACTTGTACCTGAGGAAGCGTCAGACGGCGTTACGACCCAGATCACGTTCATCAGTCACAGCGCTGCTTATTTTAGTTATGATGATGGCCGACATCTTCCTGTCTGGGTTTATTTAGTGACAGCAGGATCAGAACATATTTCTATTTCTTTACTGGATTATTGGGCTTTAATCCAGAACTTCACTGCAAAAACTGAAATCTATCAAAGAAAGTGGTTCTTAAAAAATACATTTATTTCCTCTTGTTTTGAGCAGGAGGATGAATAGCCAAAGGAATAAGATCATTTATATAAAAAAACAAAAAACATTATTTCAAGAGCTTAAAATCCACTTATCTTCAGGTCATTAATACTCATCCTACTGGCAGATCATCTTATTTATCTGTGAGTTTAAGAATCATTTACTTATTTCTAGATCTGTTTATTTCAGAGATCAACAACTTCAACTGTTTGTAAAAACTTTTCTGAATCAGTTGATTAAAAAGTCGATCAGAGTCCAGATGTGGGACCTGAACACCAACGGGGATTTAATATTTTAATTTCTACTAATTTCTCTCCAAGTTGTCACCAAACAGTCCTTTAAAATTAGCCGCTAACGCTAATAGCCCGCTATTGTCCGGGTATATAACAAAACTAGCAAGCTGCTCGATCTGCTGTTCAGATGAACATTAGCATCGATTTCAGAGATGATTAAACATCCAGGTTTTAACAAACTGTTAGCTAAGCTGTTAGCTAAGCTGTTAGAAGCTGTTAGCTAACATTTTAGAAGCTGTTCGCTAAACTGTAAGCTAAGCTGTTAGCTAAACTGTAAGCTAAGCTTTTTTTTTTAACGGAAGTTAGCTAAGCTGTTTGCTAAGCTGTAAACTAAGCTGTTAGCTAAGCTTTTAGAAGCTGTTACCTAAACTGTAAGCTAAGCTTTTTTTTTTTTTTACTTTTACGGAAGTTAGCTAAGCTGTTTGCTAAGCTGTTAGCTCATCTGTAAGCTAAGCTGTTAGCTAAACTGTAAGCTAAGCTGTTTGCTAAGCTGTTAGCTAAACTGTTAGCTAAACTGTTAGCTAAGCTGTTGGCTAAACTGTTTGCTAAGCTGTTAGCTAAACTGTTAGCTAAACTGTAAGCTAAGCTGTTAGCTAAGCTGTTAGAAGCTGTAAGCTAAGCTGTTAGCTAAGCTAAGCTGTTAGCTAAGCTAAGCTGTTAGCCAATGAACTGGATTCCCTCAAATTACCAGATGTTTTCTGAAGTTTGTTAGTTCCAACTCCATTAATATTCCTGTGAGTAATTAACTGAAATAAGGATAAAAATGTCCGACATCTTTGGAGTATTTTTTTTTATTTATTTATTTTTAGCTGTGAATTAGTTTGAATCCGCTCCGACTGTTCTAACTTTAAAGTTTAAAGCTAATTTTATGTCATTATAAATAATTTGCTTCTGGAAGAATCCATGATGAACCGTCAATCATTTAATTAGTAACTGGTTTAAACCAGATCGCCCAGGTCTCCATAGTTGGTTAGTTTTATTTAACCCTTTCATTTATTCTCAGTTAATCTGGTTACACTTAACCAGCTTAGTTAAAGGGATTACCTTTAAACTGTTTAACTTTAGAAATAAAACAATTCCATGAATAAATTCTTATATTGTGCTGAAAGGATGAATTTATTTGTTATGTGCAGATTTTCTGTTTATCGTCTCATGGCTACAATCATAACCAAAGGTTATTGATTTAACATCAATGCCTGCATCAGAGGAGCAGATGAACGGCTTCCTGCGGAACATCAGGTCCTACCTGTAGTAGAAGACGATGGTGAGGCAGATCAGGGTGCAGCAGCAGACCGTCATGGAGATGATGAAGGCCAGCCAATGAGAGCTGATCTCTGTGGGAACAGAAACCTGGTTAGATCTGAGCTCCAGGTTCTCCACAACCCGTTCAGCTGAGGACGTACCCATGGGAACCTGCGGCGGCAGCGTGGGCCTCAGGTTCTCGTTGCAGAAGTTGGTGTTGCAGCACTCGATCGTCCTCCTGGTCTGAGCGTTGGGGGAGTCCTGTCAATCACAGCAGACAGCCAGTCAGGGGGCAGGACCAGCCAGAGGCGGGGTCAGCGGGAAGGATGCAGGTTTCAGATTTAACGACGAACTGGGTGAGTTTCTAGATCCCAGCGTGTCACTTCCTGTCTGAGGACAGCTGAGCTGAAGGTCCTACCTTACACTGGAAGTGGTAGCCTTCATACTTCATGCAGCCGGAGGTCAGCTGAGCCTCTCCGTGCTCGTCCTCCTCGATGATGGCGAAGCACTGACCGTTGGTCCTGGACACACCCAGACCCGCAGTTAGTCACAGCTTCAAACCAGAACCAGAACCAGAACCCAACCATCTGGACTAAATCTACATGGTTAGGATCTAGATTTATCTGCGGGATTGTTGTGGCGGAAGGTTCCCAAGCAAGTTTGGTTATGGCTGGTTTGTGGGAAGCATCTTGCTAACCAGTTAGCATCTTAGTGCTAGCAGGTTCCCAACGGGAAATTCCATTGGGACCAAGTAGCACTAAATTGGTGACTTAGAAACGACGCTGTCAAGGAACGCTATGGACAGCGGAAACATGCAAGAGGAGGAGAGTTTAGTGTCGGAGGTCGTGGATGAGTCTCCTCCGTCATCCATTTTTTATTTAGAGGAGGAAAGCGGGGACGAAGATGTTGTGGAAGAGGACGCCAGGGCGGCAGAAGCTTGGTTTGGTGTAGAAGGCTTCCAGCCGTACATGTTTGAGCCCTTGCCTCGCAACGCTGCCAGTTCTGTTAGCTCTACGCCTGCTGAAGACACAGACGTCCATCCCCGGGAACACTGGGACGCAACTCAATGGGAAAGGAAAGGATTCTGGTTTCAACCGTTGCGTATATTAGCTGCTACATATGAATCAAGATGCTATGACCGACAATATTTGATTGACAGACGACCTTTGATATATGATTGGCCGAATTTAGGTGTTCAGGCTGACGTAGAACTAACTGGCCTGCAGAAGATAACGGGAAAAATACAGATTTAAGGTAGGATTTTTTTTTAAATAGAAATTTTCAAAATTTTGGGCCAATATGGTCTGATAAACAGAACATTTATATACATGTTTAAGCCAGAATGATTTGACATTTAAATATGATTTCCCTACGACTTTAAAGGTTAATAATATATTTCCTGAGAAAATAAATACATTAAAGTTGTTTCTATTTTCGTCTGTTCCCGATCTGCACCAGAAATGGGATGCTACGTTTTCCTTTCATGTCAACATTATGGTGTATATTAAGTAACCTTAAGAAAGAAACAACTAAAATGCAGATAAAATAAAATAAGGTTTGATCAGATTTAGCTTGACGGCTCTGAGCATGACCCATGATGACATCACAGAAGAACTTTAACAAGAAAATGGAAGAAGCATCAAAATCGCCTAAGTTATAAAACATGTTTTAAAGACGTGTATTAGCATTCTTTAGTGAGTTAAGGATAGAAATAAGTAATTCTAGAACTGTAATGATATTTTTGGATGTATATCTGTTTGCATGCGCAGGATGGATCAGGTAGTGAGCGGACCCCAGGCAGGCGGCCGTACTCACTGGCAGGTGTTGTTGATGGCGTCATCAGGACAGTGTCCAGAGCAGTAGCAGCTGAGGAAGCGGTCTCGGTCCTCAGGAGCGATGGTGGAGTCCTCTCCTGGACGCCGGGCCTCGGGATTCACACCGTTCCCCTGCAGGAAGTCGTCCGGGTTCTGACCTGCAAATGGGAGGAGACGGAACCGGATTCACACTTTGGATCGAGCACAGAGATCCTAAGAACAGACAGGATGCCTCACTCCTCCTGATTTTATCCCCCAGAGCTTCCAAAGTTTCCAAACCTCCTGCTGGAGGCGAAACATTCCTCCTCTATCAGCTGCTGACAGGCTGGGAGGAGCAGCAGGAGGCCCACAGCTTCTCCTTCTTGTTTTGTTGTTTTTTTTACTCTTGTTTTAGATTAATCTATATATTTTTACATATTTAATCTCCGACTGACTTAAAGCTTCATGTTTTACAGTGAAACCTGGCGATGCTGGAAGCCGTCGCCCTCATTGTTCTTCAGGGATTTTAAGCTCAGATGATTCCTGCATATCTTTGCTTCATAATTCAGTTTTTCAGCAGATTTATTTTGCCTCCTGTTCAGCTCTTTTGCTTTTCTCTCCTCAGAGTAAAACCTTCAGCAGTCCTGTCTGGACATGTCCCTCCTGGTCTCCATGGTTACCGTCAGTGGGTGTGTCTGTTTGTCTCTCTCAGACAGCATCAGGGCGATCTTGTCTCGATCAAAGCGAAACAAACTTCTGCTGAATGACTCAGACTTTCATCTGCTATCAGTTCAGATGTTTCAGCTGAACTGTTTCAGTGAAAACTGATGTAAAGGTAATAAAGATTAAACTGACAGACAGGTGCTGCTGTTCTATAAAACCATTTCCTTTGATTTTAAATAATAATCGGACGGATTAAAGCCCAGTTAGCAGCTCAGTTTAAAGTGCAGCAGGTCTTCAGAGCCTCAAACAGAGCAGGAGGCCAGAACCCATCAGAACCGCTCTGCAGCTGCATTCTCTGCTTTGGCCAGCAGGGGGAGTACAGCCTGCAGAAAAACAGGCATCAGAGGAAGAAGCTGTGACCAGTTTGTTCCTGTAACTTGATAAAAACGGCATGAAAGAAGCTTCACAGCAAACTGGGATCATGAGGCTCATTTAGCTCAGAGATCCATCATTCAGCTGACCCGTCTGGGACTCTGGATCATCAGAACTAAACACCAGAACCTCCTTTCAGGAGCTGGTTTCCATGGGTCAACTTTAGGAGGGAGCAGAACCTTTAGAGAGGAGCCCGGTTCCAGGTTCTGGTACCTTTAGAGCGGAGCCTGGTTCCAGGTTCTGGTACCTTTAAGAGCAGCCTGGTTCCAGGTTCTGGTACCTGTATGGGTCTGAAGGAGCAGATCTCTGATGTTCTGCAGAAAGTGGAGCTTAAAGCAGCAGCTCTGCTTCTACTGACAGACTCACTGATTTCACTTTAACTTGGAGACATTTTCGTTCTGCAGCTTTTACACGTTAAAAAATAAATGTTTAACCTTTTAAAGAAGTAATATATTTTGTAATAAGCTAATAACTTTAGAAGCTGAAATTTGTTGTATTTAAAGAGCATGAGATAAACCATCACCTTCAAACACCCTGTTCTTCACTGATAAAGGTTAATAAATGCCAGAAATATTTTGGTCTGATCAGCAGCTGGAAACATCTGCAGCTCTAGTTCACTGAATCCATTTGATTCCTAAAAACTAACCAGATTCATTCAGTTTATTTCCCTTTGATGACAGAGGAGCTGATGATTTCACTCAGAGTGATACCTCTCACCTCCAGAGGATGATCTAAACTTCATATCTAATCAATAACTGATGGGCTTTAATCAGCTCCTCCTCTGATTTGTTAGAGTCCTGCTGTCTGTGATTGGCCGACGTCCTGTGACTGACAATCAGGGGGGCGGGGCTTCTGTCCACACGTGTGCCTAATCGCAGCATCAGTCTGAGCGCAGACTGAGGTCTGGCAGAGCATGCTGGGTAACTCGGCGCCGCTGCAGCTTTATTTATCCTTCATGCAGGCGGCTGGAGAACCGCTGGTTTCCATGGCGATGCAGGGGGCGCGTTCGACTGCGAGGCGCGTTTTATGACAGCCGACAATGAGTCACTGTCTGGTGCAGAAGTTAGGAGATCCTCCTGAGAGGAACCTTCTACTGAATGAAGAACCAGGAGATGCTGGGGACCGTTTGAGGTCTGAGGTCAGAGGTCATCCATGGAAGCTCCCAGGCTTTGGATTCTCTGAAAACATCTGCTTTGTTGTTCTCATCCTGTCTGATTATTTACGTTGTTCTTATAAAGTTGGCCTGGTTATGAGGCTTTTATTTTGAAGGGCCTCATAATAAATTCCTACTTCTGTTAACCTAAACTATAACAGTAATAAATCAAACGGAATCTGTTAAATCGTTTGTAGATTTACTTTAATTACTTTAGACTATAATTATGAAAATAAAAAAAATTCCTCTGATCCAATTTTATTTTATAATGAAACTTTGATTTGTTTGTGAACTTCTGCCTTATTTTATCTGATGAGAGTAAAATAATCCTGTCGTTGGGTTTTGTTAAACCCGAGTCGTGTCTGCAGGCATTTATTACCTGCTGGCCCTTTAACAGTAAAACAGCTGCTGAGGACTGAGGAAGAGGAGCAGACCTTCATCACTGAAGCTCCTCTTTATGACCAATAAAACGCAGCGTCCTTTTAAACTCAGCCGCTTCCTGTGGGGAATGTTGACCCTGCGTTGCCATGGCGACAGCAGATCATTGCCCAGAGGGGGTAATTAATAACCTGGTTAAACAGAGCTGGACGGGCGGACAGAGCGCTCACTCTGCAGGTTATCTAAATGAATCACATGAAGCTGCAGAGGACCGACTGGAGCAGCGGTTCTGCTCCAGAACGCGGCGGGGCGGCGCTCTGCGGCCCTCACAGGGAAAATGAACAGCTTCAAAGAGGCGAGGCGTCTCCAGGGGAATGAGGGATATTTCCGGAGAACAATGGCTGTTTGGAGCGTTTAGCGCCGCTGAAGGATCGCACCGCGCGATACAGGAAATGGTTTATGTGCTGAGAGGAAGCGAGAGCGGCAGCAATCAGTTCAACAGCTTCCTGCAGGGAGGAGGGCAGAGGCAGAGAGAGAGCGCTGGAGCGTACTGGGAGGCAGAACCAGGACTGGTTCCTGATGCAGGAGAACGGATCAGAACCAGAACCGCAGACACCAGCAGTGAAACCAGACGGTGTGTCACTGTAACAGAACTATGCATGGTTCTGGTTTAATGGTTCTGATCCGTAACAGTCTGCCCTCAGAGTCTGATTCAGTTCCTTCTGTGGATCTTTTGCTCTTATTGACTGAATGATGGAGGATTTAATGAATTAATGGGCAAATAAAGCTGATTTCTACAACAATAATCAGATAATAATCAATAAATAAACATGATGAACCAGTTTGATCCTCCTCAGTGTTTATTAACTCAGACTGGAACCAGTTGGTTAACGGAAACCAGTCCAGTTTGGACAGAAAACAACCAAACTAGTATCTGATCAAACTGATCCGCCCTCTGATCCACTAAAGCCGGGCGTACGCTGTACGACTTTTTGCCCTTTTCAGCCTTATTTTCCGGTCGTGCAAGAATTTTTTTGATCAGGCCGACTTTCAGCCTGGTGGTGCGAGGTGTAGCTGTGCAGGCGGTAACGAGTAGCGATCAGCCTCTAACGACCACCTCCCATCAGGACTCGTAAGGTCCGGAGAAAATCAAACATGTTTGAAACGCAGTCGGCCGTTGTGAGGTGTTGGTGGGTAAATCCTGCTGTTGTAGCAGAGCTAGGAGCCGATTTATCGGAATCCAGAGCACTGAGCATGAGCAAACAAGACAGTTCTTCTGCTTCTTCCAGATTGTCGAGTCCCACATGGTTTTTAGACGTAGAGTGTGAGCAGGTAGATCGCATCAGAGCCTCGCAGTGTGAGAACAAACATGGTGAGCTGTGAGCTTTTAAACCCTACGGTTTCATCGTACAGTGTGAGCTGTAGCTGCGTGCAATGATTGAAAAAAATCGCAGCGTACGCCTGACTTTAGATGAAGCAGTGACATAAGCTGAGGAAGATTCATCCAGGTCATAGTCATTCCGTAAAAGTTTAAAAACAATCCACTGGACTTGGTTTCCAAGGTTTGAGAACAGATCTTCAAACCGGAATGAATCAGTGACTTTCCCCCCCTGAGGTTCTGATCCAGTAGCTCTGAATGGGTGGGATAAAGCTGCAGCAGGGAGAGCTGGGAGCCCCTGATGTTTGACGCCTGGATGACGACCTCTCTGGGCTCCCTGGTTCTCCTGCTGTAGCTCATCACTGCTGCACTTTAGAAATGGAAATGTTTTAAAAAGCTGCACTGAGCAACATTTCGTTTTGCACCCTGTAAGAACAATATGACCATAAAGTCTGTCCAAGTCTACCATTTATTCACATTTTCAGATGAATTCAGGTTCATCTGCAGTGAGGAAACGGTTCTGGTCAGGCGTAGCTTACAGACCCTCTGGTTCAGACCAGGAATGATTGGGTCCATTTTAATTCTAGACGGGTCCAACTTTAAGAAAAGGAATAATCAGGAGGAGTGATTCAGCAGCGGGAGCAGAGCTCCTCTCAGACGTCTCACCGTCACTTCCAGCCAGCAGGAGAGCAGCCAGCACCACAGCCAAACCAGACCCAACCGCCATCCTGCAGCCAGAACCAGGTCCAGAACAAGGCAGTCCACGCAGCAGCTCGGGCTCCAGAGGGAGGAGGGGATCCGATCCGATCCGATCGGACTTCAGTCGCAGCGGGCGAAGCAGAGAAGGTCGGAGGAGGTCAAGGAATCAACACAGCAGGTCCTACCGGGTCTCACTGGTTCTGTGGGTCCAAAACCCTGAAACAGGAGGAGAGATTTAATGAGATCAGACATTTGGTTTCTGTAAAGGATCCAAAAGGAGCAGGATGTTCTGCAGCTGGAGTCCATCAGCTCAGACCAACGTAACAAAAACCTTCTCAGAGCCAAACTGGACCACAACCCTACACTGTAAAACATTAAATCAAATTCATTCAGTCATTTTTTTTCCCTCTTAAAATTAGTGCATTTCTTCTAGAATTGAGGAGGTAATTGAGACACTGCCAATGAAGCGAGACAAAAACAATTGCATTGTCTTATTTAAAGTGCATATTATCTAATCATCTTATTTCAAGAGTAAAATTTTTTTTATCAAAAACATAATTAAAGCTGAAGTCTCTAAGTTTTTAAAATCACTTTTTTGTCATATTGGCTAAAACTGTCCCTATGCCCAGACAGCAGTACATGTGATATGTAACCTGTGAAAAAAACTGCTTCAATTGGTCCCGCCTACTGCCTGTATTTCAATCTGGAAAGAATAATTCGGGACGAGTCAAAACAACCAATCACAGCCAGAGGAGCGTCTGATGGAGTGTCAATCACAGCTCACACACGCTGAATCCCGCCCCCCCCCCCCCCTTCTGGTCGCATGCGGTAGCCGCGCAGATGCTGTGAGAGGGGTGGAGCTTGGAGGTGGGGCATGAGTGAAGCAGAGAGGGTGGGGGAGTGTCGTGAAACCTGTTTTTCTTCAAATTTTCAGTCGAAGTCTGCTCTCTTCTCAATGTTACAGACTGCAGCTTTAATGCGCACAAATAAGGAACAGTGGACTTTTTTTATCTTAGATACAAAATGTTTATGTATATTTTCTACAGTCTTGGTATAATCCCTGCTCTAAATGGATCGCTCTGTCAGCTAAAGGCACGTTTTACTGTCTTTATACTCCAGCTAATGATTAATCGGTTACGAAATCAGTTGATGATTATTTCAATTATCAATTAATCCAATTAGTTTCAGTCCGACTCCGAATTCAGGTTCTGGAGAAAACCAACGAAATGAACGTCTGGGTGGTTCGGAAGTTACACAGAATATAGCGCAGCAAATCCTTTGGCTAAAATGCCATCAGAACGCTGATAATATTAAGTGTGTCTCAGCCCCCCCCTTCAGTGTCCTCCATATTGGATCAGTCCATTTGCTGCACATGTTCAGAAAGGTCCAAACAGACAGCAGCAAACCATTTGAAAACAAACCATGCAAAGAGCAGTGTTGCTAACTTAGCGCTTTAGTCGCTATATTTAGCCACTTTTCAGACCCCTCTAGCACTTTGATTTCTAAAAAGCTCCTAGCGCCAAATCTAGAGACTTTTTTCTGCTACTGGAGACTTTGAAGACAACATCTAAAAGCAGCGAACTCTGCTCTCCAGAGCGAGTAGATTGGTAACCCCGCCTCCTGCTCTCCTCTATCTTGTCTGCTGTCATGATTCATGCAGCTATTATTTCATCCAAATGAAAAATGGAGAACAGAGAAGCAGATCATGGCTTGTCTACAGTGAAAAGAAGGACTGGGTTATTTACTTTGGCCTTTTTGGAAACACAGGAAGGAGCAATCAGCTAAGTGAGCTTAGTGCTTGGAAAAAATCTTTCATTCCTTTAGAGACAGCATGAAAAGTCAGCTGAGTACAAAACATAGAGAGGAAAACAAGAAGAAAAGGGACGAGAAGAGAGGGACACAACCTAGAACAGATAATGGATGTCTATTCTATTAACATCTCTACATCTGGAGAATGGGGCTGTTCAGAGGGGCCCCTGCCTGTCTTTGCCTAATTTGCCTGGCTTTACCCACAACTCAAGTGGAAATTCAATTTAAAAAAAATCTTTAAGGAACCTTTGAATCTCTCATAATTAATAAAAAAACACAGGATAGATTAATGGACCTGCTAAATAATCATTAACTGCAGCTCTAGATCAGAGTCTTTCAGCTTTTCAACACTTTTGACATTTGGAGCAGATCTCCATGGAGACTTTCCCCCCAGAACCAGACTTCATTTAATTGGAGCAATGATGTCTGAAATGTTCAGAGGAAAGTTATCTAGCAGCTCATCTACTGAGTTACAGAGGAGTTTTCTGCTGACGTCTCTTCTCTAACCGAGTCACTGGAGATGATGCTTTCAGAGATAACAGCGGTCCAACAGATACAGGGAAATGTTTAGAGCTTTGGTGATGATCAGGTCCAACATCTGGCCCCGTTTCCAGGTTTAACTGTTTAACATGATCCGTCACACAACAGAAAGAAACTCAAATGTGAAATAAAAACTGAGAGGATGTGCAGATGTTCCCTGAGGAACCCCACATTTGATTTATTAATGCTTTTTTTTTTAAAGTAGAAGTCCGGCCATATCCAGAATTCAAACTTCTGAAAGTTCTTTAAATCTGAAATTATTCCATCCCTAACAATAAATGTTCAGTGTTTTTTATTCATAGTAATTTTAATGTGAATGTGCTTACAGCTCAGTATCTGTTGCTGGAAAGGATCTGACTTTAAAGGAGCATTGAACTGAAACAAGTTGGTGGTTTAAAGCTAAACTTTGCTGATCTTCCTTTGGACATTTCGTAAAAGTTTAAAAAACAATCCACTGGACTTGGTTTCCAAGATTTGAAGACGTTTCGCTTCCTCTCCAGGAAGCTTTCTCACTTTCTTCCTTTGGACAGTTTTATTCTGTCAAATTCTGTTGCCAAGAATTTCCCAATTCTGGCCACCAAAGGTATTTTGACATTAATCTCATGTTCAGCCACATATCTACATGAGCTGAGCTTCTTAAGCTTGACTGAGATAAAAACTAAAAACAGAGACTGAGAACTGTTGATGAAGAGCTCTGTGTGTCTTTCTACCATTCCTGCCAGGATTTCCTACTGTGTTCATGGAACCAGCCCAGCCTTCACACTAAAGGCCTGGTTATCGTCCAGCAGCAGTGGGAGGAGTGCACCGCAGTTAGCTTGACGCAGATGTTTTTGATTTATGCCCAATATTGAAGCGTGGTCTGCGCTATGTTATTCCACGCCACAACGCCAGAGGGCCAATCAGGAACTAGCTTCAGGTCTAGATACGGCTGAGGCGGTGAGGAAGTGGGGGCAAGTTTGTGCGACAACGGAGGGCGATAAAGAGCAGGGATCAGGGTGGAAAAAGGGTCCCAGCGTTCTCGCGCACCTCGCTCTGCTAGCTGCTCCATCTTCACGAGTTGTTTTTCACAATGGCGGTCATACAAAAAAAAAAACAAGCCGGTAAGGAACCACACAGGAAATAGTGTAGAGGGGATGGAGAATTGACCAATCAGAGGCCTCCTGTCTGCGATCTCCTATAATTTTGGGGAGGTGCACCAGAGTGTCTGCGGAAGGGGCGGGGCCTATCCGAGTTTACTGCGACACATGGTTTCATAAATCAGGCTTTAGTGTCCTTTGGTGTCATCTTGGTTGCCGGTGGAGATTCTCAGTCATCCAGGTCAGTCGTTCCAAAAAAAGGTTGAAAACAAACCAGTGGATTGGTTGCTGGTTTGTCAGAGGAATTTGTAAATGTTCAATAAAGGTTGTAAATCACTGTATTAATCCATGTTTTTATTTTTAGCAAAATCGGCCTAAAGAATCAGACATGAAGCAAAATGGTTTGAAGCGTCTTTCTAACTGGACAGGATGATGGGATGAACCGGCCAATCAGTGATGCTTCAGAGCTGCCAGGGTGGGGGGCGGGGCGTCCGGCTCGGCTCCAGTTCCTCCCCCGTGACCCGGTGACCCCTGCCAGCAAGGCACTGCCCCCCCACCGTCCAGCTAAGCACCAAACTATTTGTCCAGGGATGCTCAGCAATTACAGGCGCAGCACTAATAACCGCAGGTTGTAATTAGTGGGCGCCAAGCGGGCGGGGGGGCACAGAGTATATTAGTGTTGAGGCATGGCCGGTGTCTGTCACTTTTCATTTGCCCGGGGAACACAAAGAGGTCCGACCTGTGACCCACTTTTCACACATCTCTGGCTGAGGAGGCGGAGAACAAAGGCCCCTGAAGGGGCCCGGTCCAGATCGCAGGGTGAGCAGGACCAGGATGGGCCCCTTCTGGTCAACAGAAAAACCCTGATCCATTCAGCCTTCCCTGTAAACCGGGCCCCGTCCAGAAGGGTCAGACGTTCTTTGGTTTGTTAAACACCGGTTTGGTCCAGCAGCAAACTGCCCCAAGTTTCCCAGCAGAGCCACAGAGCTAACAGCTACAGCAACTTTACTAAGTGGGTGGAAATGATCCAGATGATCCACCTGAGGGTTAATATGCTGATAGAAAATCTGTCTGAACGCTTTGATTTACATCTGTGACAAAGAATCAGTTCTGCTTTCATTCAACCTGCAGGTAGAAACTCCCAGGTCCGGGTTCTGCTCCCTGAGGCTCATTCAAAGCTGCATTAACAGTGTTACATTAAAGGAAAAGTCTGGTCATGTTCAGAATTCAAACTTCTAAAAGTACTTTAATTATTAATTTATTTTTATTAAATTATGTTTCGTTTTTATTTTCATGTGAATGTGCTTTACTGGAGGCATCCATGTTTGTCAAAGAACACCACTGCCACCTACTGGTTAGTGACGTCACGGTGCGGTATCGGCTGTTGATCAAGTCCCAGTGCTGTATCTGGTGTTTGTCACAACGCGCTATTATCCAAGTCATCTTGAAAACATTCTTCTTCCAAATGTTGGCTACATATTACGGGTTTTTTCTCTGGCCAGAAGTTCGATGGCAAATCCTCCCTCTTCAAGTTGGCGATCCAACGACCAACCCGTCCGTGGAGGATCAGGAATCAGAAAGGTGGAATAACTCTTTTTTTTTCACTTTTACCCGATGTATTCCAGCATCCAGCTGCCATGCACGTGGGCATTGTCAGTTTCACTATAGCTCTGGGGAATTTCAATGGTGAAGTCCTCTGGAAATCTTCAATAATTGTTGTTGATTGCAGATGTGTCTAGTAGTTCCCATTGATTTAGCTTGGAAAGCGGGGAGAATGGCGCTAGGCTTACC